GAGAGAAAAAGAAAGAAAAAAAAGAAAAATAAAAGGGAGATAAAAAAGAAAAAACAAAAAAAAAAAAAATAAATGAGAATAAAAATAAAAATAAAGATGCGGTCCGAAGCGACGACAACACGGAATCGAACTTATAAAAAGAAAAAAAAAAAAGAACTTCGACCTAAAAAATCAAGAATTAAAATTTATACCCGATCGAAAAAAAAAAAAAAAAAACAGCTAGTTTCGCAAACTTTCGTAAATAATAATTTCCATTATATTTTTAAATATTTTTTTTAAAACATAAATATATATTATATATTATTTAATCAATATAAAATTTAAATTAATTATAAATTATTTTTAAAAAAACAAATTTAACATTTTTAATAATAACAATAATATCTCCGCTAAAAATTAGACTTCTACAATCAAAGAATTATCAGAAAGCGATGAACGCAACACTCCCCCCCAATAAACATATTTTAAAATATATTAAATAATTTCGAAACAAAACCTTCGAAAAAAACGAATCCGATAATATAATATACCGTAACCATCAGCCACAAAAAATATTAGATATTCGAGTGGCCCACCCAATACAAAATATTCATTCAATTTTCGTTATCCTTTGTTAAGTGATTAAATTTATTACTAAATTCAAATTCGTTATAATTCAATTTTTTCCTTAATTATTTGGCCTGGCCACAAGGGCTCCTCGGGTGGAAACATTCCATGTAGGGTTCGACCTGCGCATGCAGATCATGTGAGGTTCAATTCAACTTGTCATGACATGTAAATGTAATGGGCCGGCCTATCATCCATGCGTATGTTACGCACAACTCCTTTTCCTGGCCATGCACGCCAAAAGACAAATTTGTCGGGATAAGCATGGTTGAAATGGCCTTCCGCCACAGGATCAAATGCCGTAATAGGCTCAGGATGAGAAGGTGCAGGGCTTTGAGCCTCGCAATCGACTGCAACAACCGTCGGAAGCAGCAGTCGTTGTCAGTTGTTAGTAAGGCTGTGACTGTGAGGCTTGGGGTGATGACAACGCGTCCTGCAACAATGACAGGCTTGTTGATGAAGGCTGTTTATGGTCTTAGGATTTGATGCTTTCAGCAAAAACACAACAAAGAAACACGTCGTTTGATATGCTAGGATTTCATTGACCCCTTGCACTGTACTGGTGAAACTTCATGGGCGACATGTTTCGGTGGGACGGTATCGATGTGAAAGCCATGAGCTGCTAGCCAGCCTTTGATCAAGCACCCGAAGGTTCGGGCGCATAGGGTTTCACATGCCCGGGAGAGCGTATCCTAGCTGGGCAAAATAGTGCGCACATGATTGTAGGTCTGAAAGATAGAGGACACGCATGTGTAAAGCAAAGCAACCTGCTGTCTCAGAAAACGAAGACTGGAATGCCCAGAGCGGCTGGCGGTTTTGGGTGGACGGACGAAGTGTTCTTGCGAAACAGTGTGGAAATGGGAGCTTGAGAATGTTGCGGTGGGATTTGGGCTTCAGTGGTGATGTTGAATGTCATTGTGCCCCCGTAGCAGTTCGGCCGACGCCAAGTTCATTAGTAGAACCATTGGGCTTTGGGGTCTGCAAAGGGAAGCCAGATGAGAAGAAACCATTCGCGAATTGTCCAGCTCAAAAATGCAAAACAAATGCAAAACAAATCAGGACCCCAACGAGCGACCTGGTCTAAAAGTTTTAACAAAGTCTCCCTAATAATCTAGGAGCCAAATCGCTTCTAGGTTGGAGACCATTCCTATTAGGTTGGAGGCCCTCGCTATTAGGTTAGAAGCTACTAGGGGCTCCTGGCTGTACTAGTAGGAGCAAGAAGCTACTAGGAACCAAATGAATAGTGCGAGTGCTTCTTCAAGGAAGCTCCCCCCCCGCCCAGAAGCATGAGCTATCCTGCGTCCATATGTAGTAGCGAACTTGGTCTAGTCTAGTAACTAGTAGCTTAGTAGCTGCTTACTCGAGTCCCTTAAGTAGGCAGGGGGGAGCAGGCAACTTCGGAGTCCTCCATCAACCTCAGGGGCAAAAACAGGCAAATGACTGAGACGTGCTTGGAATCGTTGTTGTCTGTCCGGGCTGGTGCCTTGAGATCTTCTGACATTGATGAAGAACCTTCAAGGATTCGTGTCCACATGAACTTCTTCAAACGCAGTGAGTGGCCCAGCCGAGAAATGAATCTAAAAAATTACGTCCAATACAAACTTTTTTGCCGGGGGGCCTTCGAAGATTTCCTTCTCGCGTTCTGGGTCGTGAGCCCACACCACAGGCGCCTCCACAAATTCAACACAGTGGTTGACCTTGCAACTTGGTTCTTTGAACTTTTTTAGGTATTTCTTCTTGTCTTGTTGCTTTCCCCAATGCCCGGGGCTGTTCCCTTTGCTGTCTGTCTCCCACCTTGTCCTGCTCCTCCTTCTCCCTTTCCCCTCTCCTCCCTTCCCCTCATTTCCCCACACTTCATCAAATCAAACTCCAAACATACCAAACTGTATCACACCGCTCATTCTGAAGATACCAAATTTTCCCTTGCCACATGTCATCGAACCACACACTGTGCACAGGACCACGCTTGGAAGAAGGGTGTTCCCAGCGCTTGCAAAGTCTCATGTGTCAACCACATTATTTGTCAACCGCATGCGCACCCGCACGCAACAAAGTCTTGTGTGCACGTCGGACGTCGGCTTCACCTGCCCTCACTATCCAATGGGCCAAAGGACAGCCAGTCGTCAAACACAAGGTTGGAGGCCATTGCTATTTGGTTGGAGGCCATGGCTATTAGGTTGGGGGCCATCTCTTCTGGGTTGGAGGCCATGGCTATTAGGTTGGGGGCCATCTCTTCTGGGTTGGAGGCCATTGCTATTTGGTTAGAGGCCATGGCTATTAGGTTGGGGGCCATCTCTTCTAGGTTAGAGGCCATTGCTACTTGGTTGGAGCCATCTCTTCTAGGTTGGAGGCCATTGCTATTAGTTTAGAAGCCATGGCTATTAGGTTGGGGGCAATCTCTTCTAGGTTAGAGGCCATTGCTATTTGGTTGGGGGCCATCTCGTCTAGGTTAGAGGCCATTGCTATTTGGTTGGAGGCCATGGCTATTAGGTTGGGGGCCATCTCTTTTAGGTTAGATGCCATCGCTAGTAGGTTGGAGGCCATTGCTGTTAGGTTGGAGGGTTGGAGGCCAGCTACTTTACCTTTTCATTTCTCTTGCGCTTCAGCTGGTGAGCCCCCTTCGCGAGGCCATACCGATGGCAACACCATCAGACAAAATGTCGGCCAAGTGTATGTGGGATAAGTCGCTCTTTGCTATCAATGCGCGAATGTGGCTGGTGTGAAACAAAAAAAGCAAGCCTTTCTTCGCACACAAAGGCAAACGTCGCACATCAAGGAAAAGGCTGACCCACAACAGTCTCGGAGTGTCAAGGGGTGAGTTAGTTGCGACTGACTGCTCAACAGTCTATGTTGCTGGTTGCAATGTATTTGCAACAGCTCTTGACTGCCATGGCTCGCCTGACGTTGAAGAATGCGCAGGCCTGCCACAACCTCGAAAGTGCTGTTTTTGTCACCTACATCCTGGCCAAGGAGGGTGCGTATGCTCAGGTTGCTTCGGCCGCCGGCCAGACATATGCGCAAAGAGCTCGCGCTGCGGGAAAGAATCACACTTGTCCCTAGTAGCTTCTTGCTCCCCTTGGTCCAGCCGTCTTCGATGGGCTGCTATTGGCCCACACCGCCTTGAAAGACGAAGCCCTGTCTGAGAAGCGTGCCATGAAGCATTGTGATTCTGTCACCAATCCGGCTGTGTTGAGCGATCAAGGTTCGTCTCCAGATCTTGGTGCTCTTGGTTTTCGATTTAGTAGTAGCAAGTGCCTTACTACTAGTAACAAGAAGCTATTAGAATTAAACTAACATTAAATAAAACTAATTCTAATTTAATTCTATTTAATTTGTTCCTCGTAGCTTATTGTTTCTATGAATTCTTTTCCGATCTCACTCTAGGCGCAGTGCTCTTGTGCGGCATCCGATTAACACTATGTCGGGTGCGCTGGATCCCCAGGCACGGTGCGACACACCCTGTCTTGTTCCAGCGTAAGTGCCTTGTGCCTCGTGCACCTAGGTTTTCACTCAGGTGCAGTGATGGAGCTCCGAAGGCGCAGTGAAGTGAAGAAGTGGCATCCGTTAGGGTGAAAACCATGTGGGATCGACACGCTTGATCTCACCACACTTCATCATACATCACAACAGCACCAACATCACACACACCATCAAGAGGTCTTTCTTTCATCCTGACCTCCTCACACTTTCCCCCTCCTGCCCTTTCCCTTCCAATCAGAACTTTTCACCTGTGGGTTTATGTGGTTCTTGAATCTTGTGACCTTCCTACTGGGTTCTTTTTCTTCTCTCTTGTTTGTTTCAGCCCCCCTGGTGAGAAAGCACTGTATCCGGCGACCTCTTGTGCCAAGTGCAGGTGTTGCACACGTTGCGGTTGAGTTGTCTCTGCAATTGCTGTGGAGGCATTTCAGCTCAAACTCGCTTTCTGGAAAAATGTTGAGACTAAAGACTAAAGTTCCAAAGTCTTGGAGTGCGTGTATGCATGTCAAGCCCCTGTTGAGTCTCAAACAACTGAGATGTCTTCCAAGGATAGGGCACGGTGAATGTCAGCACTTTGGTGAAATTGAAGCTGTGGACCATCGCGGTTTAGAAACAAGAAGCTACTAGGAACAAGTGCATCGCTTCTAGTAACAAGTGCCTTACTAGTAACAAGAAGCTATTAGTAACAAGTGCATCGCTTCTAGTAACAAGTGCTCTTCTTTTGTCTTCTTTCTCCATCTCGCGTCACATTCCCGCCTCCAAGGATTGGCCGGAAAGGCCAGCAGAATTGATAGCAGCCACGCTGCATAGGCACCCAGAGCAAGAAGGCAGCTGATCTACCCTCGAAATGCCAGAAACAGCGCCAGAAAATCAAAGTGTTCAAAAGGAACCTAGGAACCAAGTCAATCATGTCAGGGTTCTTCAAAAGCGGGGAGTTTCCTTGAAGAGGCCTAACAAAAGTCAGAACAACTATCATCTACTAGTAACAAAAAGCTACTAGGGGCTCCTGGCATCGCTACTAGGAGCAAGGACGCTGCTAGGGGCTCCTGGCCATACTACTAGGAACAAGAAGCTATCAGTAGCTAGAAGCTACTGTCTTAAAAAAAGGGCCCCTCTTCGGAGCGCGCCTCACTGGAGCCCTTTGTGTGGCACCCGGATGGCCAACGTGCTCAAAAAGGCCCAAATCGATGAAGTTCGTCGCTGGGAAAAAGCCGCCTAGACCATCCTGCACCAAGTGCCCAAGCAATGGCCTACTAGCAATGGCCTCCAACCTAAGACCGATGGCCTTCAACCTAA